TGAAATAATAAGAGAGTAAGTATAGTTTTATATTTGACGTTTAAATTTGTTCAAGTTTTTATTTATTTAATTAAAGAATTGCATTTCCAAATAATAAGAAATGTTCAAAATAGAAAAAGTTTCATTTATTATTAAAACACTTAGTATACGTACAGATTTACAATAAAAACTGGAATGTGTTACTTTCAGTTTAACACCCAACAAAATTAACACAAAATCTTTACAATACTTACAATAAGTTTACAGGTATTAGCAGTAGCTAATTTCTTAAATAGTTATCTTTATATTCTTTTTGTGAACTTTTTAAATAAAAGGAAAATGTGAGATAACAGACATAATACATACACGTTCTACACTTATACGCTTTACTAAATTAATCTACGAATGGTAAAAAAATAAGCGATTATCAAGAAATAATACATTTGGTACCTACTTGAATTCAATATTTTCCTGCTTTTCTAATATCTAAGAGAATTTTTCCCCAAGGATTTGTCGTAGTTTATTTACAATTATCACTTTATTTATACACTAGGTGAGTCCGTCCAAAGAACAGTGGGTACCGTTCACTTATATTCTAATTTTGGCGGCGTTTTCAGTAATTTTATAAAATCCATGTTTTAAGCGTTAAACATTAAAAATTAATTAGTTATAATATACCATTAGAATGTAAATATGTAATATGTGCAACCAATTATGCACCCGAATGCAGACATTCAAACCATCCACTTCTTTGCAATTGTTTATTTCCATCTCAAACACATTAAAATTGATTAATTAACGATTTTGGTTAAACGGAAACATATTGTATCAAAAGTAGGTGTAAACCACCTTTCCATCTTTTAATTGAACGTTTTAATCGTCAATTAGTTCAAGAATGTTTTACTATCAGCTGTCCCAGTTGTTTTAGAAGACCATAGCCTTTAAAACCTTAAATCGAAAGTGTTTACAGCATTTTACGCACTTTTTACCGTTTTTCAAAAATTCATATCCGAAAGGTGGTGTTTTTGGTTTTAACAATGGACTGGGGTTCAAACATACATTAGAATATTATTACATGCATATAGTGCTACACATTATATTACTGCTACAGAGTACTATTAACGCTTAATGCTTGATGTATTATCTAATACGCAATAAATAATTACAATACATGCATATATCTATAGAAAAGATCGAAGAATCTGCTAAAAAACAACCCTATTTGTGCGTTTGTCGTTATTTCTAAAGTTAATACTTAAAACTGTTCGCAGTTATTATCTTTCCATGTTCAATACTAATTATATCGATTAAAGAGACATTTTTAAGTCAGTTTTACATTTTTTCATTAAACGTGTAGTTGGCATGTCATCATCTGAGTTGCAGTAAGAATCATTGAATAGATGACGTTTTTACCATGTGCTTCTTACGGATTTTTGATTTTGAGCAAGTCAGGGATGAAATCGTCATATCAAGATTGATCATTGGTATATATCGTTTGGACGTTTGTAAATTTTTTAATATTTCTAGGAAGAAGATCAAATTATTATACTAAAAAAGTAAAAGAAAACCTGGCTACACTTTGCGTTTGGTTTAACAGGATCAGGATTTGGTTAAGTCTAAACTCACTTGCTATTAAATTAAGCGATTTTAAAGCTGCTGCTCTCTTAGTAAAAACAAAAAGATCTGAGTGAACTATACGCTAGAGCCTAACTGAATCCGTTATTATTGAGACCACTCACCCTGTTGTTGTTAGTTAATATTAACTTAAAAATTTTACTCAAAAATATTTTAATAAACTCACGTTTTATTAAGTATTGTTCTCCAGCTTTAACGTGATACAAAAGTAATAGACCTAAAGATACCCTTGTAGCGTACAACATTTTCCAAAAAAATTTTCCGAAATAATGAGAACTTACCAAGATATTTCATCTTTTTTTTTGTAATCATTTTTGTCTATTTCATTCCTTTCCGCCAAGGAGACGTGAGGGCGGCAGCTTCCCCATAAAATATAAAAATTAAAAATCATTTATTGTCCGATTTCTAATTAAATGCAACGTGTAATGTGTAATGTGCATGTCGATTGTAAAGTTCATTCCAAGCATTCTTAGTACCAAGTACCAATTTCTTGATTCTAAGTTTTTAATGATTTGTCATTTACTTAAGCAGTCGTTTTGTATTTAACCGTAAAAAACGTATATTTTTCATGATCAAATAGCTGTTGCGATACCCGAAGGCCGAACAATAGCCTTTCATGATACGTATGAAAGCCATTATTATTGTGAAAGGACATTAGGTGATACGTTCAGATACAATAAAGGCTGATAAAAAAATAGTTGAAAATTTTACAACAAACGCAATAAAACTATGTTTTACTTAAAATATTTTTTCCTGTAGTAAATGATTAAGACTCCATGTATTGTATTTAATTTTACAATTCATACTCTTTGTCTGTCATGTGGCCCATTGGCGATGCCCTTACTTCTGTATTTATCCTTATTCCTAGGTTGAAAACGTAACACCCACCCTGCCCTATTATCCGAATATGTTGTAAAATTTATTCTTGTTTCGGATGACTTGGAGATCTTGTGTCCATCTCCCCGACCAATGATGTCTTTTTCAGCATTAATATAGGTAATCGTTCAATATTGTATCTCCAAAATTACTACGATTATTACCTTTGTGCCATGTTAAAGCGCGAGTACACTACATTTGTGCAGTTGATAGAGTTCGGGAACCCTTAAATGTTGCAAGCTTTTTGTGCTAAACGTCCCATTGATAAGTGGGCCATTAATATAGGTAATAATTCAGTATTACAGCTCCAAAATTACTACGATTCAATGCTGTTGAAGTTGTTATATAATCTTTTAATGGTGTTACTTTTAAAAAGTTATTTGCAATTTCGCTAGGCTCTCGCGTGTAAATTGGTTCATAATATATTTGGATTCCAGTCAAACGTCCCGTCATTAAATAGATGCAAATTTTATGTTTGTATAAAACACGAACATTTTCGTGCTAATAGCACGCCGAACTTTGTGGGGCCATAAAATCAAGTAAGTTTATCCGCAATAATAAATGGAGACAAATATATTGTTGTTCTCTCCCTTTCCTGGAGCATCGTAACTTTTTGTGGCGGCTTTTACGACAGACGCTTAATGAATAAAAGAAATCGAAAGCTAATGATGCTGACAAAGTTTTTCATACGGGAAAACGATACATTAATGTAACGGCATTGTTGAGGCAATTTCTGTCTGAAACTATTAGAGAGGGTTTTTCAGTGTATTCCACAGAACACTTATGAAATGTCCCATTTGTCAGTTTCTTTTTTAATCAAAGTATTTTTTGAAGATCGTATAGGTAATCGATTAACTTGTTATTTGTGTTGAAATTCTGTTAAAAATTTTACAGACAATTTCGTAAAAAATTGAGTGATTTTAGTTGCTTTCACGAAGAACAGTAAATAATTAGGAAATTAGAGGAAATTGGTATAGGAAACCATAATACCATTCGAAAGAAAATAAAATTCTATATAAATCTACGAAAATACATACAGGGTGCTCCATTTTAAAAAAATGTTTAAAGATAACCAAACCCGCCATTAAATATCTAACACTGTGTATGTAATTAACCTACTTTGAAACAATGGATGGGAACCTTAAGGATATAGCTAAAATGGGGTGGGTATTGGGTTAGGTTAGACTCATGAGGAAGGTGGTTGGTTAAGTTCGAAGTTTAATTTTGTTCTTTGATATATACGTGAATCCAACGTATTATAGAAGTATAGATCTTAATTAAATTTTAGAACTTTTGCAGGAGAAACAAATAATCTTTTGAGTAAATTCAATACCTAAATGATTTTCTCCAAAAGTTAACTATTGATCGTTTTTCTGATGAATAATTCGGATTATGAAATCTTCTTTGATGCTTTTAAAAATTTCCGAGCTAATCTTACCTTTTCCTTTCTGAAGTCACTGTTAAGATGTGATCCTTTAATAGCATTCTTGGAATTTTTTCAGTACGCCACTCTCTTATAAAATATACCTATTTATAAATCTCTCAAAAGAGATGCTTCTGAATGGTGAATTATAAAAGCAATTTTGAATTACCTTCTAAAAATGTTTTGTCCAAATGTAATTTTCTTATAAGTATACCTAAATTATAATTGCATTAATTTTATTAACTAATTAATTGAGTATTTTCTTGATAAAAATATTTGAAGTAAATAAAAATTGTGACATTTAATAGTAGTTAATATCTATCAAATATTAACGTGAAAATTCATTTTACATTGATCATTTATCCACTATAAACTACCTCAGGTTAATGAGGGAAAATTTGTTACTGTTGTCACACCCTCGCCGGGAATCGAACCCCTACACCTAACGCCGATACAAGACCCCAGTCATCACCTACCGAACCCCTGTACCCGGCAAGGAGAACGGACTAGTACCGCGCCCTCGCTACTCGAATCGAACCTGGGACCTTTGGCGTTACGCGTTGACCAAAGGTCCCGAGTTTAATTCCCAGCGAGGGTGTGACGACAGCAACAAGTTTTTCCTCACTGTCCTGAGATAGTTTATGGTAAGTAAAAAATTGAAATTGAATTTTCAAATTAATATAAATAAAAATTGTTTATAGGTAAATAATTAAACAGGAAACAACTACAAGTATTTCATTATAAGTAGACGATGCAAAAGTTTGGTGAAGCAATTGTAACGGTTTTTATTTCGTTACAAAACAAATAAAATTAAGTGAATATCATGTTCATTTACTATGAATTTTCATCACGCAAGGGTTAAGTCAATCAGTTATATTGATACTTCATAAATTCTTTGGCTGATGGTGAAATTGATATTAAAAAAATATAGGTTCGTTTTAATAATACATAGTTTTTATTATATTGACATTCTGTAACGGTCAAATCAATTGATCTTTACACATTTGTAACGTTTACATGAAGAGTTGTGAAAAGTTTTTTTTTTAATTGAATTCTATACACAATTATTAAGATACCTACCTTTATTGGTGGTTAAATTTTCAGAAAGTTGAGTGAATATGTAAACAATAATTGATAGACATAAACAATTCCGTCTAGATAACTGATCAATATGTAGAATTGCTGTTTCTGGACTTTTTTCATTACCTTTTTCGTTTTTAGGTAGTTTTTAGCTTTTTATATCATCATTTCCTCCTGTACTTCCGGACTTATAAGCATTTCCTCAGGCAATTTCCCTCATACGTACGTAGTTGATCATAATAGATCAACTTCACTGTCGGTTTAATAAGTGAAATTTTATTTGTGCGAATAAATGTAAAGTATCCAATCAATTACAAGAGCGTATTGGCAAGTTCGTTTTTACTAATGATCCGGTGATGATGAGCTGAATTGCCATTAAATCGACAGAAAGCGGTCGCGGAGCCTCCAACAGCACCACCTGTAGCTCCTGTTCGACTTGATCCATATTGCGATCGTTGCGAATTTGAAATGTAAGTTTCCGTCCGACTAATTGAACTGCGTCTACAGAAAAGTTGCGAAATAGCTAAGTGCATGCGGCGCGTGCCTTCCTGTAACATAATCAAAAGTTTATCTACTAAGTTCAAAAATACTAAGTATTTGAAACAAAGCATTCAAATGTAGCAATAAATATCAGTAGATGCCAGTATATTACTGCCAATTGTTATTGGTTTGATATTATATCAGAAACATATAAAAAATAGCAATAGCAATAGTGTAGAAGACATAAATTAAATAATGAAATTTTTACGACGAACAGACAAAAGACATTTTTCTTCCTGCTGTGTCGGCTGTAATAAAGATGATGATTTGGAATATTTTTCCAGACACAACTACATCTCTTTGTTCCAATAACATTTATTGGCAACTAGCTTTTTTCGCGACATTGTTCGCGTTGATGTTTAAACTACGCGTCAAAGACCATCACAATTTTTTCTTTTCCTCGGAAATAGTATTGTTTTCTGGATAAAAGGGACCCTATGTTGTTTTGTATGCCTCTGACAATGTCTGTACAAAATTTCATGATAGGTTTTAGCCGCGGCTTCACTCGCGTTGATGTCCTAAATACATGTCAAAGGTCATCGACGATCACTTAAAACTAATTTCTTCTAACTCTCGGGAACAGTATTTTTTTCTGGATAAAAGGGACCCTATGTTGTTTTGTATATCTCTGATGATGTGTGTACAAAATTTCATGATAGGTTTTACCCCACGGCTTCTACCACCATATATGGAAAACTAATTGTTTGTATCCCTATGTTTGTATTTTTTCTGTACCCTTGATAATTAGTGTACAAAATTTCATAATGATATTATGAGTAGTTAAGGCGTGAAATAGTAACAAAAAAACAAAGAAATTTACATTGACATTTATAATATTACAGTTAGAATTGACTATAGATATCGTTTTTGTTTTGATACAATAAGTGCCAGATAAGAAATTGTAACACAATTATGTGAGCAAAAAATAGTTTTTGCAGAAAAAGTTGTTGATATCGTTTTTGCAATGTAAAAGAGTAGGGTCTATTTAGTCCTTAATTTTTTGTTAAGTGGTTAATTAACCATCCAAATTGTTTGTCTAGGCATTTCAGAAAATTAGCATTTAAATGAGGATATGCTAAAATTCCGTAGAACATGCCACATTTTTGCTAGAAAATATTGTTTTGGGAAATCTCCATTTCCCATTAGAAGGAACGTTATATTTGTAATAAGTTCTTTTAGAGCCCGTACTTTGTCGTTAACATCGTTCAAAAATAATTAGACGAAACTGGAAAAGTTGTAAACAAGTTCGGGATGCGAAAAAGTTTACTTATTTAGGAGTCAGCTGAAAATTAAATAAGAGGTTCCTGTACCTTATTACTTATTATTCATTGGTGTTACTTTGACAATAACGAAAGGGTGGGGCTCGGTTTGTTTTCTCGTTATTTCTTGTAAGGTTTGTGTAATATATAAAGGAAGTATTTACCTAATTAGGTTTCCTCTTTTGATCTCTACTTTTTTATTGAAAAGAGCAAAATTGACCTATTGAACCAAAAATATACTGCTCCATATTTTATCTCTTGTATTTAGGTACCTGTTACGTAATTAATAGTAGAAGGCATTACTTGTTCAAACTCCATAATCAATTAAAGGAAACGAAAGTGAAAGCTTCGTCAATGTTAAATAGGACAAGATGTTAAATATACTTAAAAACGTATATAGGGATGAATTACAGAGATAGAAAAATGATAGTTTGTATAAAGACGAACAGGCAATTGTAGAGTTGGAGCAGCAACGTAGAGAAGTAAATCTTAGAAAGGGAGTCAGACAAGGGTGCATACTGTCACCGCTACTTTTTAATCTATACATCAGTATCATTAAAATAAAAGTAAAACAAAAATAGTAGTATACAAGGGATGAAAAAGTAGGGAAAGAGTTAATATAAAGAAAAGAGACAAAACATTAGAAGACGTGGCTGATTTTCAGTATCTAGGAAGTCAGATAAGTCGAAAAAGTTTGTTACAGGAATTCGGCGTTCGAAATGTAGTGTTACAGGCAAATGATTATAGAGAATGTTAGAAATGTAGAGGCATTAGAAAGAATAGAAGAACAGAGGACTCTACGGAAGTCAATAAAACATAGGCAAGATAGATTGGTAAGTCAGAGACATATTAGAGGCAGAAGCAGGAGTTAAAAGGAGTAGAGGTAGGCCTAGATTAGATCACTGTTCACAGATAGTTAAGGATGTGGGATGTTCTAGTTTTGGGGAAATTCGAAGATTAGTTCAGGATAGAAATGAGTAGAGGTGCGTCTCAAACCAGTCTTAGGACTAACGACCTTATGATGATGTTGATGAAGATGAATGTGATTGAATAATGTTGATGTGTTGCGCGATCTGAACTCGTTTGTTTTTTAGAATTTCTTTGTTATTTATTTACTTTTTTTTAAAAATCTTTTTTCCAGGAACACATTGTTTTGATTCTTGAACTTATATTTTCTGTCCCATATCATCCCCTTTTTATTAAGGTTTTTGATGTATTTTTTTTAAATCATTAACCCCTCTTATAATAACTGATAAATTAACAGGAACCTCGAATATTACACGACCGTTAAAGTTGACTTATTTGTTTCGGTAATAGCTAATAGTAGTACAAGCATTTGCGTTAATCGCATCGCTGTTTTTTTTTGTTGTCGTTGTAACAAGTTCTGTACGTGACGTAACAATTTAGTGTGTAAGTCGAATCGACAATTCTCGAGGGTGAAACGTGGCAGCGGCTGCAATTAACTGCTCTTGACTACTTTCTCAAATGGGCTTTGACCACTGATGCATTCGCGGTAGAGCTTACACCGAGGAAGTGTCTGAAGGTAAAAACGTATTACACGGAAATTCCGTGGCAGAATTTTATAGTTGCAGCTAAACGGTACCTATTAACTTTCAAATAATTTTTTAAAGTAAGTGTTTTATAAGTTATAAGTTCTTTGTCCAACAATATGCTTTACGTTTGTTTTAAGTTATTACCCGCAATTTTGTCATTGGTTGATTATTTGAATGGATGTTATCACAGTTTTTAATGTGTACCACAAACGGGCCTACTACTAATAAACTGAATTGAACACGCACGTGGGATTTATAACTTCTATAAAACAAAAAACCGTGACTTTGACTGTTGCGTGTTACTAGAAGTACGAAAACATAAAATGTGTAAACGTTCTTCATATGTTGTTGTAGATACTAATACGTATGCACATTTTGTTTATTGATGAATGTTGAGAGAAGGTTTTTTGTGTAAATTTATTTATTAGTTGAATGCCTTTAGGACAATGAATTTCTATTAAGAATATTTTGAAAGTAACTACAACCATTGGTAAATTCTAAATGGAAATTACAGTACATTTTTCACAATCATCGAAATTGAATACTTTCCGCCCTTTTGCGACCGCTGAGATAGTTCAAGTTTCATACAAATGTGCTGAGTTAAATTCTATTACGTAACGAAAAATTTTCATATGTATCATAATTTTGTACACATTAAAAATCAAGAAAACTAGTAGGCTGACATAGCATATATGACACTTGTTTATGTTTAATAACATCGATAAAGTACTTGCGTCTTACCTTTATTTCTGCCATTCGGTATGAGTAAATGATAGGGTTTGCCATTGTTTTCAATATAATTAACATATTGACCGTCCAATTAATGTAGAAGAACAATTCCTTGTAGCATTGTGCATAACTGTCATAGCTTTCGCCACTTATAATACATCCACTTCTGCAGATTATGAGGAAATTGATGTTAGCGGGTAACCAACCTGAAAAAAAAATCCTCGTTGTAACTTCTTATTTGAAGAACAGTTTTGGAGATACATTTGGTTTGTCGGTATCTAATTGATGTGAATGACTATTCAGTCTGAAGGACTATGGTCTGTTTGGATTATCTCGTGACGTTTCGTCTACAGCTGGAGGTGGTGTGCTAGACGAAACGTCACAACGTAATCCAAACAGACCATGGTTCATTACATCGGATAACCTTTCATATCAATTAATTCAAATTCGCTTTTAAATTAGATTTTCTTGAAAATATGATCTTTACATTTCTACATTTAGTATACAGCACAAATTACTTCTTTACCACTGAAGATACCGTCAGCAAAGAACGACGAAACGTCTGGAAAAGCAAGATTCCACGGACCACGGCCAAAAAGCCCGGCAGAAAACACACCATCGAACTACTAGGTTGATTGTTCTATTCAAACCTCCTTGATACTAATGCGTTTTGAAGTGAAATACATTATAGTACTAAACACTTACCGATCATGCAGGATCCGAGTATTAAAAGAGTCGTATATATGGCTTTCAAATTTCCTTCCATTTCTCGTTGCTGAGAGCTCACTCCGCGATTTGCACGATATCGACTGCTGCCAGTTCTTCTTAATTGACTCCAAACTTTCTGTTGCCTCTTGACAATTATCAGGATGTGGGTGTAGCAAAATATCATTAGAATCAATGGAATAATAAATAATGACGCGAAGAACATTCTGTAATTGAAAGAATTTCCTTTTTAAAAACCAATCCCATGTAAAGTTGTATAATTGAATAGAAACCCAGAAATTTGCTAAAATGTCAAGTTCTCTCGGTTTAATTTTAGAATGAAGGCTCCCGAGATAAAAATGTTGAGTCTCTCAGAGTCTCTGAAAGCGAGACTCGAGTCTCCGTCTCTCATCGAGTCTCTCTGGTGTCGCTGAGAGAGACTGCCGAGAGACCGTCAAAAAAACTGTTTAGCGTCTCTGAACGAGAGACTCGAGTCTCTCATGGAGAGATCCTCCATTTCGTATCCAGTCTCTGAACGAGAGACTCGAATCTCTGAATTAACAATTTTATCGTTCAAGTCTCTCATACAGAGACTGTGAGAGATCCATAAAAACACCTAGGCAACAACTGAGAGACTGGGAGGGACGCTCTCAGAGACGCTGAAAGACTCTGAGAGACTAAAAATTTTTGTCTAGGGCTTTTACGGTCGGCGTTAATTCTTAGGAAGTTTTCTGGGATAAGTTGCCGTGATCTAATTTGGTTTGAAGTATACCAGGTCAAATTAGACCACGGCAACTCAGCCTAGAATTCTCTACATTTTTTTGTCCCTTTATTTTTCTTTCCCTTATCGATTTTACAGATTAGTAATTTGGGACTGTTATATAAATTACAAAACCTAATTTTTATCAATCTTTAATTCCACTTCTACCCGAGTAACAAGACCGTAACGCTTGACCAGATCCCTCCCCCTTTTCCCATTCCGCTACGTATCGCAATTATTGTTAAAATCTTAGGTTTCTTAGATTCACAAAATAAAATTGCAATCAACATAAAAGTGTAGTATCACATATAGGATGAGGGAATTATTTGCTGATTTCTAATAATAAAACACATTCGTTCGGAAATATCAATCTCAAACTCCTGATGCAAATTTAACAGTAAATTAAAGCTACGAAGTTTCCGATTCTAAAAGCAAATCTTGTCATCCTCCCACAGCATAACAAGTCGTGATTCCCGACTAGAACACTCCCCCTCCTCCCAATTTACGTTATGTAATTTGTGGACGATCCTTTTCTATACTTACCTAAAGTTTAACGACGTCATGAAGGTAATTGTGTGACAATTTTCGTAATACTTGTAGACCAAGAAATAGGTGGCTATGAATAGGATAGGAACGATCCAGAGGAACATGACGACGATGCTTGTTTTGCCTGATGTCATTATCGAAGGGTAATGTAGGGGTTTTAAAATCCCCAAATAGTGGTTTACACTTAGAGCCAGCAAATGTACAACGGTGATGATAATGCCACTAAGTCGAAACATTTCCAATGTATATGTGGCCAAACATGATACGCTGATGTTAATTTTTGGCAGAAGGCTGTTTATGAACAGACCAACTCCTAATAGTGCTGAAGTGCACGCGTCGGCCGCTGCCAAACTTAGGCTTATGTGAAGAGTAGGAGATAAGGGCCTTCGAACCTGTTCAAAAAAAATGTTTTTTTTTTAATGGAAAATAGCATACATACACAAAATTATTTATAATATATTGATAGAACATTTTATTCCAATTTATTATCAGTAAACAAGGGATACACCTTTGTGCGTTTCAACACTTCGCCTTCCTAAATTGACCCGTGTACTGCTACTTTTTTTGATTTTAATTGTGGTTAGGCCGATAACAATCGGTTTTCGCTCATTTTATCATTCAAGAAACCACACTTTTTCTTATTCCGACGTATGTACATATCTTTCCCGCAGTTTTAGGTTTTGCGACAGTATTTTTTTGGCACTACAATTTTTTAAGTAACATTCCACTTGTGTATTGATCATCATCATAAGGTCGTCAGTCTTAAGACTAGTTGGACACGCACCTCCACTCCTTCCTATCCTGAGCTAATCTTCGCATTTCCCCAAAACTAGAACATTCCACATCCTTTACTATTTGCGAACAGTAATCTTATTTGGGTCAACTTCTACCCCTCCTAACTCCTGTTTCTGCCCTTAATATATCTCTGACTAGCCCCTCATGTCTGAAAAGGTGTCCTATCAACCTAACTCGCCTGTTTTTTATTGATTTCCATAGAGTCCTCTGTTCTCCTATTCTTTCTAATACCTCTGCATTTCTAACCTTCTCCATCCACGGTATTCTCATCATTCGAACGCTTCTAACCTTTTCTTTTCCGCCGCGTCCACCGTCCATATTTCGCAGCCGTACAGCTCCACGTTCCGAACATACACCTTTAACAATCTTTTCGAATTTCTAAATTAACTATTCGCGAGCATAATATTTACAGTTTAATAAGTCGTATATTCAGAACACAATAACACGATCACCAAGAACTATGTACTTAGCTAAAGCGAATACAGGAATAAAATAGGATCTATCCTACTACTTCCACTGGGGAAGTACCAAATATATTGAGGAGTTACGGGAATGGTGCAACGACAACGAAAAAATATCGCTTTATAAGGCCAATGCATATTTTGTTTCTATAACCGAAAGTTTTTGTTCACGTTATGTGGCGGTCTGACATAACTACTAGATTTATTTTCGGTCAGTATTCATTCAAATAAAGACAAAATTAGAAGTGTATCGTGTCAGTCTAGATCCTTCGAACGCGAAGAAGTAATATACTTAGGCGAGTCAATTTAGGAAGGCGAAGTATTGAAAGTAAGAACAGTTAGTCAGTTCAGAATTAAAATAGGTAATTTTTTTTTGAGTTCATTGCTAGAATGGTTCAATGCTAGAATTAACTAAACCGCTTTGAAGGTAGTCCTTTGTCTGTTGGCTCAGCTCGCGAAAGTACGTAATTGTCTTTTTTCCAAAGGCTTTTCCTTTAATTACAATTAATTGTGTAACGATTTCGAAACCCTTTATTGTATAAATATAGTGAGGAGACTGAAAATTAAATAAAGGGAGATGGTTTCGTGCAAGTAATTTAAGGACTTTAGACCGTAATTTTGTGGATTTTGGATAATGCAGCGTCGTAAATAAGCGAGGCTCATTTACGGTCCGTGCATCAATTGGACACATTCTGCTCCTGTTTTCAGTTCTGGAGCCGTGGTCGAGAAAACCCTTTAATAAAATTTTCTATCCCACCATTTCCTGTTACTGGTAAATCCAACTAAAATTCCCACTTTGTGTAGATGCTGATATATTACATTTAGTCGAGCGGAAAATAGTTACTTCCATCCTTACGAGGAAAAAGGCACCCTCAATTAGATAGGTATATTTTTTGTGGAACAGTAACACGAGTGTAAAACATTTAAATGATTCATGCAAACATTTGACTAATTTGTTCTTTAGTTGATTATTATTAAATTTATTATTGAAATGAAACTTTTTTATCGACGGAAAGAAGGAAGTTTACTAGAGTATATAAAGTGTGTCACAAGCTGCGGAACGTAGATGATCCAGATTATTGGGATCCGTCAAATGGGCATACACCATCTGGTGGCAAAATTTATAACTCGAATGAGGGAAAAATTTAAAAGTAAAGTTTTTTTTGATGATGGAGTCGACGAAGTTTTCTTCTAAAGTTAAATCAAACAAAAAGTTAATATGTTCAGTGAAAAGCTGCAATAGCACTTCAGACATAGATCTTCACTCTTCACCTACATTAACTACTTTCCAATAAAAACTAACTGTTTTATATATGTAAAAAATATATTCGGAAAATTAGAGAAAAAAGTAAACTAATAGAATTTTGGATGAAAGCAGTAGGTATCAACGAAGTGAATTCCGGAATAAAAATTTGTTCACGTCCTTTTAATGCACATGATTATATTTCAGCAAGTATTTACCATCAGCCATAACCTTAATATTTAAAACTAGAATCATACTAAAATTATAAAGTGAGAAATTATTTATTCCTGTGTAATTGATTTAACACAATTCTAATGATACGATATAAGTATTTTGAGGTTAAGAACCTACCTGCTGCAATACAACAAAGTTGTAATAATGTGTTTGCAACGTTCTCTTAAATCAGCTTTGCACGTGCAAGTCATTGATATGATATTGCTTAAATCACCCAGAATCACCTTACCAATTATATAACGTGAATCACTTTTTAAATCCGAAGTTTGTAAAAAGTAGGCAGTAAACTTGACTGAATTTGAAGGCTAGCTTCCGGATTTGTTATTTCCGAATTTTATAATGTGATGATTGGCATTAAAAACACGCTCACCTTCAACGAAATTTCCTTTCCGAGGCTTTGTGTCAGCCCAATCACATTTTGTGTCAATACTTATCATTTTATCGTAATTTAAAAACTTGGAAATTGCACGGTACACTATAGGAACTACGATAAATTTTCCCTAATCGGCGCCATGTTGTTAGGCTCCCCCTATTTGACGGATCCCAATAGAATCGCTCAGTTTTTATGTCCTAAAAACGTCTCAAAGATCATTGACGACCATATGAAACTAATTTTGCTATATCTCGGGATTTTTTTTCTTCTATACAAAATGTACCCCAAGTCCTTTAGGAGTAAAGTATTCATGTACCTTTAGCTAAGTTAGCAGATATGCATATAAGTAAATGTCTGGCAGCTTTGGGATCTTAGATTGTATATAGTAAAGTGCAAAGAAAATCTTACCCAACGAACGGAAAGTAAGACCCTTATGTTAATAATAACTGAAGCCAGACAGAATATTAACATCGGTGGAATGTATTGTTTATAAAGGAGTGCTATCCGTTCGTCTGTGGCATTTCCATTAGAAAAGACCCCGCTGCAGTTTATATAGAACTCGCCCTCTTCTTCAATGATAGAACTGTTGTTACCAGATGCCATTTATCTAAAAGAAGAAAAATGAACAAGTTAACTGCTTGACATACAAATTGACCTGTTCGAATGACATGAGAGATGATTTATGAGCTTTCGGAAGTCTCTCACATTGAAACGAATCAGGTGAAATGAGAAAACCGGTAGCAAATGCAACATAAATTTGTTAAAAATTCCAATTGGTCCTATTGCTTTTTTTCTTATAAGACCGGGGCAAAATGGTATACTTATATAAAAAAAAGTTAATAAGAAATAGGATGGATAGGTTGGTTGGGCATCTTCTGAGGCATGAAGGACTATTACAGACATATTAAAAGCAGAAGCAGGAAGATCGTAAAGATTACCTCACGGTTGGCACAGGAAAAAGTAGAGGTGCGTGTCCAACCAGTCTTAGGACTGACAACCTTATGATAATGATGATGCATATCCCTAGATTTTCAGGATGATTTAGCAATCGCGTTTTTAGATTAAAAAATGTGTGTGTGTGTATTATAAATGATGTATATTTATACTCATGTATGAGTAGAAGCGAAAAAGAGATGCGTGATTCAAAGAAGGATGGCTTTTAATACATAAAAAAAAAAATCAGGGTAAATTTTTATCGGATGTGCCTACATTAAGTAAATGGCCTTTTCGGTATAATGATGCTTATTATAATATTTTGTTTCAGACACCTAAGCGACGACGTTTTAGAAGAAATTAAATTCCTGCCGGGGTACGCTGATCCGTATCATAAAAGGTAAGACAAAATTTAGACCTTCATTCTTGATGGATGAATTGGGTGTTTTTATGCATACGTAAAATCAGTGTGTACTGATAAGATATAAAAAGGTGACGAAAGTTTGGTAAATAGGGTGGAAAAAGGCTAATAATAAACGAGATTAAAACGGACATGGTTAATCTGACAGTAATTAATTACAGGGAACGAGCCATCTTTGCCTTTGTCTTTTGATAGTTATTCAAATTTTGTTTATGGTACGATTATGCGAGCAGTTAAAATATGCCGTTTTTTCGGACATTAAACACAAACATAATTGGGACGTTTATTCCGAGCATTTAAGCTAGTTGTAAATCAAATTTACGAAAAAAAAACTCGTACTTAGGAGCCTAGACCAGAATGTCTTTACGTAAAAACTTCAGAAAAGAATTATCCACACCAGTAAATGTAGACAATAAAAAAATAAAGTTCTAAAGTTTTGCGGAGATAATTATCTAACGAACAAAGAACTTTTTTATGATGGAAAGATGACACTTAGAACGCAGGACTGCGTTTTAATAACAGGTTTCATAAAAGACGGGTGTCGTAAAGGGGTTCAAAATGAAAATTAGAGAAAATTACTTTACTGAAGAGCTTTTAAAGATGTTTTCTAACGATTATACGATGTAACAAGGTAAGAAGGCAAAAACTTAAAATATGATTGGGGGATGATTTTAGGGGAGTCATAATTTTTGTTTGTAACTGTAACAAATGGAGGTAGTTCTCAGATAAGTGGTTGTAAATTTAACATGATTTTTGGGGAAAATGAAAATGGCAAGCTTGAATTTCGAAACGAATGTTAAAAGTAACATGTACTTAAAATTTGTTCCTACATGCAGCACACCAATCTAAATTTAGGCTAATAGGAAATTAATGAAAACATAAATATATCCGTTTGTTGTTGTTAATTTTAATGTTTAGTGCTTTAAGCTTTTTAAACGGTTTTATTTAGCTTGTGCCCTGTTAGGTCAAATTTAGTAGTTGAAATTTTGGTACAAACCTTTAGTTCTGATGACAATTTAATATAATCAACCCCCACATATTTGTTTCAATATTTCTGGTTTCATATTTGTTTCAATATGAGTAAAATGAGAAATATTAAGTAGGTAACTAAAAACTTGAAAATATAGTAAGTAAAGAAAGGGTTAAGTTAATAATTTTTATTGAAAATAAAGATAGTAATGATGTAGATAAATAATGTACTAAAAGGTAGAAAATAATTCAACAGGTCCTAGGTACCAGTTATCACACCAGTCTCCTCATCAATCTAGGACATTGATCAGACAAAAAAAAATAGAAACGTGGGGCGTAGCGACTGAAATTTCTACCAACAGTCAACCGCTTATATCATTATAAATTCTATTTTTCATGTTATCTGATCAATACCCTAGATTGATGAGGAGAGTGGTGTGATGATTGGTACCGAGGACCTGTTGAATTATTTTTTACCTTTTAGTACCTTATCTACTCATTAGCATCATTAGTTTTAATAGAACCGTTTAACTTAAACATTTTTTTACTTATTTTATATCGACTTAAATTAACAGTAAAAAAGGGGATGGTCAGTCATAGTTTTTAAACATTTCTAGATATATCGCAAAAACAATGTACGCAAGATGGTATAAATTATGAACATATAGTATACCTAAGCAATTATATTTCCTTGTACTTAAACAAGAAAAGGAATCTAGGCACTAAAAACAGTTAAGTGTAGCTACTTTAGAAAAGAATTTTAAAAATATCAAATGCGAAAAACTAAATTCAAATTATGTAGTAAATGATGGTAATTAAAGCAGAAGACAAATTAGGGATGACTTTCGAGGTCAGTAGGTGAACTGATTCGGGTCTAAAGGCGTTGCTTTGTAACGTTTCGGTAGTACAAGTGGCGAGTTTCTTCAAAAGTCCTTCCATTTCCGATACTGGATATGGATTGAAAAAGCTCACCATCTCAGTTTGGTCTGTGTTCTATCGCAGCTTTCTACAGCGTGCTGATGTAATCCAATATCCGTTTTGATACAGCTTTAATAAAATAATGCTCACACCAAGAGTTTCGTCCCACTTTCTACTTTTTATGTATTTTTTTTTCAAATAATGTAGTATGAACCGTATCTATACAATCGATGAATTGTTTCTTTTCAGGCCCATGACGTTGGGTGAAATCGGATGTTTTCTCAGCCATTACAATATATGGGAAGAGGTAAGTTATTGACTTATTTGTTTTTTTGTTCTTTTTAAGTAACGATTTATCTCTCGTCAGCTCGTGGTGTTTTGCTGTGTAACTGTTAGCTGTTACCTTATTAACGTTTTTTGACTAATTTATATTAATTTATGATTTTATATATTCAAGTTTTAATGAATTTAATTATTTATTATTTTATCTTTGCCCGTGTTTTTCCGTGAGGTGCAATTACGTCTGGTTAAAGAATTAAGTATCATCGACTTTTAAAAATAAATAATAAAGTCACTAATCTGAGGCGAAACGTTGGTTGTTTTTTAAAATAAAAAAATTATTTCACCCCTTATTTGTCAAGTATTGTTTTGTTTTTACAAATGAAAATTACATTGTTTCAGGCTTATGAAAAAGGATACGAGAAAGTGATGGTGTTAGAAGATGACATTAGGTTTGAAGCATATTTTAGATCAAGAATGGAAAGATTGATGGAAGAAGTGGAGGATATTCCAGGGTGGGATTTAATGTAAGTACATCTTTTACTCTGATAGAAAAAGTCAATTTAGGTGTTTTTGGGTAAAAGGCTTTTTGCCCATACTTCTTTTTAAATCTTTGTTTTTATTGACGACATGAATTAATTGTTTTAATGCGTGATAGCAGCTGCAAAAAGAACGCTGTCTAAGTTTTAGATGGGATTTTCAAGTAATGTTTTGTTTTTTTTTTTTTTGAGACTGCCTGTTAAAAGCGCACAACGCCCGTGTTCAATAACAATTTTTTGCGTTGTATATGCTTTCAATTTTTTTAAGCGTTAAGAGCACAGCAACATCATGAATTTGGGAACAGCTTCGAAAATTACTTCTTTATTCATTTTTTTTTTAAATGAATGCGGTTGAAGGAAATTTATTTTGATGAACACTTCAGTGAAGGCATCGTTATTGTCTTAATTTAAATAAAAGCTTCGACAAAGCATTATATTTATAATAAGGATTAACTGAATACTTAAATGTATTGTAGTTTAAGAACTTTGCCGATGATTTCCACTACAACCGGGGATAATGCCAAGTTCCCTCCCATATACCTGTTTTTAATTAGGGTTAAAATTTTCGGTATGTCGAATTCCCTCCTAATTATACATCAATTGCCTCCCATTGAGTGCTAATTGATACTATAAAGTCATAAAGAGTTGTTTAAATAATACAACCTCACATTACATATTAATCTTAATATTACAATTTGCTAATGTTTTACTAGATTTTCAATGTGAAATTACGAAGTGTTTCATCTAATTTTATAAAATTATTAACAAGACAAACTAAAACTAATAAAGTAAACATTTCATAACTGATATGTGTTTTCTTTCTGAAATTATTTTTTCTTTCATTTACTGAAGTACTGAAGTGCACTATAAATATATATTTATTTTCGATAAATAAAATCGGTAAGTAGTCGTTAACTTAATTATCGGAGCTGATATGAACGGGAGGGAACTCGGCTAGTACCCGGGAGGGAATTCGACTATCTATATTTTAACCAAAACTACCTGCGGGAGGGAATTTGGCATCACCGACAACCGGAATGTATATAGATAAATTTTATCGAAGACTATATAAAAATAATTACAAAAACATGAAATATCTTGCTTGATTCCCATTATTTCAAGAAAAATTGTAGATAAAGGTTGTTTGCTTTTTCATCTACATCTATGTAGTTCATCGCGAGTTGTTTATTATAAATCTACACGAGTGATTGCATTTTAAACTCCTTGTCGAAATGATTAAATGCTTCTTAATATTTTTTGTTTTTAGGTATTTCTATGTAGCTTGCGTAATATTAGTACCTACATGTGATAAAGTAAATATTAATGTATTAAAATGCATTCTATTTTTTTTCGAGCTTCCAGCTTACTAAAGGCTATTAGATCTGCGATTTTTCTGCCATAAAATACAAGTATATTTCTTTTTTTAAGTTATTAGTCGTCGCAATTTTATTTTTCTTATAAAATAAGAACACTCAGACAATTTTGTTGTTTTTCAGTAGGAATGCCTTTGAAGTGCCTTAGGCCTTAAAGTTTTTTTTTCGTATCTTTCGTCAATTTTCTTGTGGGATTTGGTGTTTCATAATTGTCTTTTGCATGGAATAATCCTCTAATATGACTTACACCCACTGATTATCTACACCTACACATAATAAGTATCTGTTCAATCTCAAATAGTAACATTTTCTTTCCTTGCATTTCTTTGGAAATATTTATGTATATTTATTTATCTAATACCTTTAATTTATCATAATACTTAACTCAAACAAAAAACAATATTATAAAACAAATCAATTCTTGAAACTTTTATTTAAAACATAGCTAGACTATTCTTGAAAACTTAAATTTAATATTACTGAAAACAAAAATTTTAATTAATACCATCATAACACGTTGGAAAATTTAACTACCATATTTATCAAAGCAACCCCTACAGCTAGAAAGCCCAAACCTTCATGGACGGAGGCTGGAAAGCTATCATACCATATATATGTATTGTGAATCCCAAATAAGTTAGGGCATTAGTTGAGATGTAGTCCTATCGTTTTTAAATCGCTTAAGAATTCAAAAATGCTGTTATTTTCATAAAATAAAAGTAAAAAAATAATAAATCCACGGCTCAGTTTTTGGCAGACAATTTCCTGTGATACTAAACTGTTGCTGTTTGAATCAAATTGATCAAAAAATTAAAACTTTATAAATTCTGCCGAAACATAGACAAGTCAATTTACTACGCCATTAAATATCTAACACTCTGCATATAATTAACCCACTTTGAAAATATGGAGGAGAAGCTTGAAGGTATAGCTACCTTTTCTGAGAATATTGTTGCTCTAGCTTTCTTGTTGTAATATAGGCATGGTTTTTGACTGCGTACTGCTCCGTGCTACTTGTTAAAAAAAAATGATATTTCTCAAAACAGAGGACTCTGTGGAAGTCAATAAAAAATAGGCGAGATAGGTTGGTAGGACACCTTCTCAGGCATGGAGGTCTAGTCATAGACATATTAGAGGCATAAACAAAAGTTAGGAGGGGTAGAGGTAGACCTAGATTAGATTACTGTTCGCAAATAGTTAAGGATGTGGGATGTTCTAGTTTTAGAGAAATGCGAAGTTTAGCTCAGGATAGGAAAGAGTGGAGGTACGTGTCCAACCAGTCTTAGGACTGACGACCTTATGATGATGATGATGATTTCTCAAAACGGTATATATATATATACTTAACAACCCTCTTGGAGATTAAAAAAACAAAATAAGGCACTTGTATACATATAAAACAGTGATAGTCACATATTCTAAGTTACGTATGTAGATACCTATGTAACTTTTAAAACTGCTTGATCTGCAACTACAAACCATACATTTTTGTTGGAACTTTAACCTTCTTTTGCATGCACATTCGCATTTCATGAGTTCGCTTTTATGTTAATACTAAAAGTTAAGAATAAGGAGTGAAGATACACTGCGTAAACTTTTAAAAAGTTAGTTGAGTAAGTTTGTTGCTCAATGCAGCACATCCAGGGAACAGAAATGTTTCCAATTTAGTTAAGAAGATTCTATTTTTTATTCCATATCGTAACTATAATTTACGTGTCTATGTACGTTTTTTTTTCTTTTACTGTCTCGACAACTTCTGATATATTAGAACTGAAAAGATTTTTCTTTAAATCATTCATTACATTGGAAGAACCCTGAGGATGTCTCGAACAACCGAGGTCGAAACGTTTCCAGCGATTTAGCGCAAACATAGATTTCTGAATCTCAGTAAATGCCATTGTACCCCTTCAAGGTAAATGTGATACAATAAAAAAGCTCTAATGTGTTTTAACGATGATAGTCAGGTAAACCTTGAATATTTTGCTATTGTATTGTAAATTCCAAGAGAAGATTCAAATTGTAATATGCACGATAAAACCAAATACAATCGAATATGATTAAAAATTATCAATCCATCTACTTAAATCTGTAATTAAATAAAAAACATTATCATAACAAAAAACAAACGTTTCAGCGAATAGCGACCGAACAATACTTTAGATAAAGTAGTTCCTTTTTCATTATAGAACTAGGTACTTTCTGCGAATTTCTACTGGGCTTTCTAGAAGTACATATATGTATACCTGAATATGTATGCAGTCCCTTCATAGATACATTACATTTGACTTTTTCTACGGCAAACAAAGTTTGAAAACGTACGTTTTCCTACTTCTATGCAGCAGAAAAAGAATACTACGAAAAGCAATTGCATAAATTTTCTCAGATGCAAGGGGATTTTATTGCTTCGATTCACAAACAAATTCGCATACATTTGACGTACGAATAAGAACACAAAATCTGCTTCCATTACCCAAATTAAAAGGAATCGACCGACAATTTATTAAAACTTTGCAACCAATTTGCAATGACTATTTTATTTATTTACATTTATATATGACGATTAGGTAATTAATTTTAAGGTAGAATAATCGAACAATGAATCAATGACAAGAAATCAATGATATTTTGCTATAATAAAAATGATATTATAAAAGAAAATATTGCCAAGTGAAAAAAATATGGCATTTACTATACATATTTATACTATATATCAAAGTTTTAAAATATTAAAACTTCATTTTCTCGAAATTAATAAAACTACCCAATAGTGTGACTATTTATTAGGGTGACGCAAAAAAACCGACTATTTTTTTTCAATCTCGAGTAAAAAAATGATAGTTTCCGATGTGTTAAGAACCTCCTCCAAAGGACAGCTCAAAAAAAATTTTTTAAGGTGTGGCTTCAAATTGTTTCAGATTTCAAAAATCGCCAAAAACCGAATTTCTTTTTATTCAAATTTTTTTTTCTCGTCATAGTATAATTTCATAGCCTAAAGAATAATAAGTTTCTGTTCAAAATTTGAATTTTGAAAGGTCGCACATAGTGCATTACCTTAAATTTTTTTCGAGCGACCTTTTAATATTCATATTAATATTCCACATATTTTTTTCTTTTATTTAGTAAAATAATCGATTAAAAAACACTACGAAATGAACTACAAATCAAACACAATACAGAAAATATAATTTTTTTAAAACTCGATATTGTAAAAAAATAGTCGGTTTGTTTGCACCACCCTCCCGAGATAAAAATGTTCAGTCTCTCAGAGTCTCTGGAAGCGAGACTCGAGTCTCCGTCTCTCATCAAGTCTCCCTGGTGTCGCTGAGAGACACTGTCGAGAGACTGTCAAAAAAACTGTTCATCGTCTCCGAACGAGACACTCGAGTCGCTCATAGAGAGATCCTCCATTTCGTATCCAATCCCTGAACGAGAGACTCGAATCTCTGAACGAGAGACACGAATCTCTGAACGAGACACTCGAATCTCTGAATGAGAGACTCGAATCTCTCAATAAGTAGTGTTTCGATAGACATGGTTAAAATTTTCTAAGTTCAATATATTTCAGAGATCCCAGTCTTTCTACGAGAGACTCGAGTCTCTCAATTTTTCAGTTTT